ACATTATGATTAATAACTCTTATAAATTAGTTTTAAAATTTAGTTTTAATTATCATTATTCTATATATGTAGATTTAGTGTTAATTATTATTATTATTAAAATTTTATTTTAAATTTATATTTTAAAAATTAAAAAATAAATTAAATTTATTAAAAATAAACTGAAAAGTATTATAAAAAAAGTATGATAATAATTATGCTTGCATTTTCCCTTCAAGTCTTCCCATTTTTTTATTATATATGCTAGTGACGCCTTAATCGTCAGGATTTCACTTTCCTCTTCTAACTCAGTCAACGGAGAGAACTCGATGGAGAGCCCAAGCAATCCTAATTTCTGGGAAGGCAATGGACATCAAAGTAAGTTTTAAGGTTTCTGGTTCTTTTACTTTGACAAATTTCTTATATATTGTGCCTTATAATAGTATTCACTTTCCATGCTTAATCTATGACAGTAAGGTTTGCAGAAGATCAGTTCCCGAGTATTAGTCAGCAGAATCTCCAAATGGAGCCAGTGAGGCAAGAATCAGGTCAGGGTTTCCTGAAAATATTCAAAGCTAATCATATAATTTACATGGCAATTGCTTTTTTTTTTTTTTTTGTCTTTTTCAAGCTTTAAATTTGATTCACTCTATGAATCTGTGCTTCTAAGATAAACCAATCTGTTCCATGATGGTTCCCTAATGCTCAAAGAGGGTATAGAGTCAACCTCCACTGGTACGCCCTAAATTTTCTTTATCCATTTCACTTCTCCTAATGTTTACAAAATCTATTAGATTTAACGGCTTCAAGTTGGTGAATTTGTCACTAAATGTAATATCTTTGAGGGAATTTTGCAAATTTTGATGAATATAAGTGTTTGAGACCTGGTCATTTTATTTTGTGATTTCTTGCATGTTCTGTTTCTGGGATTTTGTTTTCATGAGGTTCAAAAGATACCCACCCAGATGGGAAACTTTTGCTAATTTTGCATTTTAGACTTTTGAGGGGCATATTGTGCTTCAGAATTGGTTGTTTTTTTAACTTATTTTCCTCCTTGAGTGTACTGTTTTCTTGCGTTTAGAAGTACCCATGTGATGACTAATCGCATTATATCAACTTTCTGTTTCTTATGTGCTGTTTCCTATTTTTTAGTGTCAAGCCAATTTAAAATGTGATATATTTCATGTGCTTGGAATCCCACTTTAGAAACAGAGGACTTCTTTTTGACATCTTAATTTTCTTTCTTTCATTTTCGGATTTTGTTAATGATTGTTCACTATAAAGCCCTGGGAGAAATTGAATTAATAAAGTTTTTTTAGGGATTTGCTGATAATTTCTTTAAATTATTGTTTCTTTCCACGAATTTCCATTTCAGGGTGCCCATGAATATATTCTCTTTATCATATAATTTGATTTTTAGTTCTAAAATGCGTTTTAGGGAAAATCTAAATAGAGAATAATGTACAGGTGAATTGATAGTTGGTGCATTGCCTATTTTGTTTCGTAGGTTCTGTAATTGGTGTTTGATAAGCATGCCACCTGTTTGATGAAATGCTTCAGAGAGAAGCCAATTTACCAATGTTATTGTGTTTTTCTTGATTGGTTGTGTTCTGGTATTTGTATTTGTAGGAACTGCTGTGAACTGAGGTTGTTTCTCTGGTGCTGTCTTAGTGGGTTACTTTCATGTGGTGTGAATATGCTTATTTTAATTGCATTTCCTTTCTTTCATTATTGGTGGTTGCATAGCTTTCTTTAAAATTGAGGTGTGTGAATTAGAATATTATAGTCTTAAGGGTTATGTGGCTTTTGAAAGCTTTATTTGCATTGAATGATGAGTAATTTTTATTTTTCATCATATTTTAGATATATTTTGTCCTCTTTGTGTTTATAAGCTATATTATTGTCAATTGACAGATAGAACTCTATTAAGAAAGCCTACTTGGCTGGCCTGGTCTGTGTGAAGCATGCTTTGAACATATCCAAATGTTTACATAGAAAGTATTAGTTCTGCATCTTTAATGCGGTTAGTTCCTCGTGGAGAGACAGAAAAAGGGCTCCTGACCATATCATCTCTGTCTATCTTACTGCAAGTATAAAGATTCTAGCAAAGCATCATTTAAGTTTTCAACTCAACTAGAGTGTATGATGCAAGATTATTCTAAAATGTTGCCTCCATCAGCTAGGGTTGGATTTGCAATAATCTATTTTTTGACACTTTGTTTACTCTGGAGCTAGGACCATGGCCTTATGGTCATGTTGAACTTGCTTCTTTTTTCAGCCAATACAAAAAGGCTTCTCTGATGGTTCTGTGTGAGAAGTTATATTTGTAATTTACTCTTCGCTAAACCAGCTATTTTGCAATTGCTTAGGTCATGGATACATGGATTGCCTATACATCAGTGAAAGGTGACCTTGAGAATACTGCAAAGGTAAAGAAATATAATCTTCTTTTTTCTTTCCAACAAATATAATCCAATTGTAAAAAGCTATTTGTAAGTGGATGAAAAAATCCAGGTAATGCACTATTTAGTTTATATATTTGGAACACAGCCATCTGTATATGCTAGCCTCATGAGCCTGTTATCTTACATGAAAAATCTTTTACACATTAGGTTTAGTATTATTGTCAATTTCTCCCAGGACTTAATAGTGAACAACTCTCTTTTTGAAGCATCAGGTTTTTCTTTCTTTTCCCTTGAACTCATGGACCAACCATACACCCATCATGCTTTATAGGGATGTATATATTCTTTTAGCATTATGACTCTACTTTTGATTGCTAGGACCTCCATCTTTTTCATTGATGTTGATAAGTTGTTAGATATATCAATTTTATTCTATTTGATTAATATTCACTTGACTTGAATGAAGGTACCAAAGGGTGATCCATCTCTACAACACTGAACTATTTTTTCCCTCTATTTTATTAAGTTGTCAGAAATATCAGTTTTATTCTATGGTGATTATTTATATATTTTCTACCTACAAGCATTGAACTATTTCTCCCCTCTGTTTTGCCATTTAAATGATATATGGTTTGTAATCTTGTCTGTTTACCATGTTGTTCATTCCTTCCCTTAGAATACTCAGTAATCAGATTCTCTTTGGTTTGAAAAGGGTTGAGAGAGAAAAAGAAATAGAGAGGCATGGAAGTAGAAAATCTGAGCCACCTCAGGGAAGCCACTGTCTTAGAGGAAAAAGGGAGACAAAACGTAGCCACTTGACCATCATCAATCCTAGCTATCCAGAGCTTGAAGAAAAATGCGAGGGCAATTGAGCTGAATTCGAAAGGAGCAGGGGTGAGTATGCATGCGTTTTCAGTATAGTGTTAAAATTATTCATGATAAAAAGGGAAAAAAAAAAAAAAGGACTGTTGAAAAGGAAACTGAGGAGACGTTTTCCTTAACTTTTTTGGCTGAAGAAATTTATTTAGATATTGTGAGGTTCCTTGGTAAGATCTATAGGCCATAGGTATGGAAGATAAAGAGGAGAAGGTTTATTTATTTATTTGCTAACCAGCACTTCTTTTCATTTCTCTTATAATAATACTAAACTCATCATATGCTCATCATATGATTCATTATGCATTTATGCTTCCAATCATTCATTATATAATACAAAATGGTGACTGCCCTAGACTGCTCTAGACTAACTCTGTTTCCATTTGCTCATTGTATATACTTTTTCAATCATTCATTATGCTTCCTCTTACTTCCTTTTTTGTAATCGTCTTAGCACGCACTTAGGTAGAGGAAAAATAAAGAATAATGGTGAAAAGGTTGTAGGACAAGAGATACAAATTTCACCTACAGCTGCTAATAAATACTTTGTAAACTAAAAAATTAGAAGTTTAGATTATTATATTGTTGGGATCAACGGAAGCGAGAAAGCCTTCATATTATTGGGATTTAAGTTGGCATTTTCTTTAATGAGACCAAGAAATGTTGCTTTTGGGTTTTGAGAGCTATGTATTATAGGTCCTCCCTTAACTTCTAAATCTTGACAATATTTAGAAATACCAACTTTCACTTGACAATGAAAAAATGGTAACATGTTCTTTGATTAAAATATATATACAAGTTCAGGAAGTACCTGCTTGAGGTGAAGAAGAATGTTACTTGGCTATTTTAAGCTGAAATTCATGGTTTTGACTTGAGGATATCTTTAAAACTAAATAATGTGGGTTCAGAGGACTGTTGAGATTTTGAAAATAAAGATCAACTAAAAGTGAGTCAACTTTATTAATTAAAAGAGAACGTACAAGAGGCTCCCAGGATACAAAGCATGGACACAAAAATTAAAACCCGTAGAGCTAATCAGTAGCAAAGAAAACAGGGAACAACCTTACAAAAAGACAAGCCTCAAAAGTCTTAGAAGCTAAAGGGGCTTAAAGCACCAACAATTCAAGTATTCAACCCAACAGGGTTTATGCACCATGAGACAAGGCCCAAGGAGAATAGGAGATATAGAGATTTGGATGGAGATTTTTAGAAGTTTCTTTATAGTCTTCATTTTTTTCATTTAAAAATTTTATTTTCATTTCTTCACTTCTCATCTATGTTTCTGTTTTCTTCCCTTCCTGCAGTTGGTTTGTATTGGATTTTTTTGCTTTTTCTTCTATGATAGTCTTGGGTAAAATCAACTGAATAGGTAATTTTTATGGTTTTTTTCCTACCTTGGTACTTGTCTTTTTTGCAGATTTTCAAGTATTAATCATTTTATTTAGCTTCAATTATGTCATTGAAAGTTATATTTCAAAACCAATCATATTATATTTCTTTCATCATTTTTAATAGTTATAGTTTTATTTTTTTGACATTTTAGACAAATTTGAAATAAAAATTTAACATGTTAAATAACTAATCATTAAAATTTTTGTATTAAATAAAAATCCCGATAAGAACTTCATATGGTAACAAAAAACGTTTCAATTATTAGAGTAAGTTATTAAATTTTCTTTTAAAATTTGTCTAAAAAATTAAAAAAAAATGCATAACAGTCCTGATTTCTAAAAGGATCAAACTCTCAACTTTAAATATTCACTTTATTTAATTAAAATTTAATTTAAAATTTAAAAATATAATTAAAAAAAAAATGCATAACAGTCCTGATTTCTAAAAGGATCAAACTCTCAACTTTAAATATTCACTTTATTTAATTAAAATTTAATTTAAAA